CGACACAGTGAGTGGCAAGAAAACGTTAGCCTTACTAACTAGCGAATCCCATGTCCCATTACCAGTAACTACTACAGCAGTTATTTCTCTCGGGTTCTTCCAGATCCTCGATTCCCTTAAGGGTGATTGTCATCCGGAGATAGTAGTGAAGAATTTATAAACATTCACGTACTTGATAATAGATTAAGAGGAACTCTAGGTCTTCTTGTGGATCATCTCCGGTTTTTCAACCCAGCAGTATTTTCCATTTTATTTCCCGTATAATTGAAATGGTTATAATCCCTTGAGGGTTACTCATAGTTCAGTACTTTAAAGCGTTTTGTGAGGCATCCCTCTCCTGAAGGATCACTTCTGCCTCCATTTCTTGCTATAAAGAGTCTCTCACCTTATCAAGATTGGTGACTTGAACACGTCTCACTCCATGTACATTTCCTATTGTGCCCAAAATGACCAGCGCAGTCGTCATGTAGCCGTTAACGGTTATCGAGAATGCTCTGAAAATTACAAATAAGGGTGTAAGAATCATTAGTATGTGGGTATCTCACCGCAAAGGAAGTGCAGCAGTCACCGATCTGTCAACACAGTCTTTTGATTTAGTCTTAGATCCGTTACGCGGTTGTTTCTGTTTACTCTTCGTTGGATCATATTACTTCCCGTATAAGCTACTTTGTGGGTTCGTTAATAAATAAATAATTAAATAATCGCCAATGGTGCACCCACATACACTAAGTCACACACGAGCGACCACTTGATTCTTTTAAACACATCGAGAATAAAAATGAAGGCTAGATGACGTTAATATTTGGGACGAGGGCAAGCGATGTCTCGATACCGTAGGAGATGAAGAACGTTGGTCGGAAAGCACGAGTACGGGTTGGTTCGAATTGCGGCCAAGGCTGAAGTTTCCCTGGTCGCCGATCTTGTGAGAAGGAAACTTTTTCATACAAATTGAGCGGTATCAACCAGCCAACGACTTCTGCTTGGATCATTCGAATGCTCCCGTATGGTTTGTATGGGTAAACCACTCATGATTCTTTTCTGAATGAGTGATCAGTGCTTCGTTGAGGCTTCATCTGGTACCTTGGCTAGGACGGAAGGCCACTGTGAGCGTATTCAGAGAATGGAAAAATGAAGAGATCTTCTTCTTTGATCACTTCCATTTAATGATACGCCTAGTACTTTACTTTCAGGATGGTCGTGACTGAGTAGGCCAAGCGACAAAGGAGAGAAAGGCTCGTTAAGTCATAGCTCGAGTTCCTCTTATTAGCTGGAGCCAACTATCCCTAACAACCTTATTGTCAGACACCGTCTGATCCATGTCTTCTCTTACTTTCGCCCGATCTAAGTTAAAGAAATGACGGTCACCCGGTTTTTCTTTACGGGCTTTGACCTTTGTGGTCAGAGCGAACGGCATAATCAAGTTTCCATACTGAGAAACTTGTTAGTACGCATGCATAGGAATGAGGGTGGCTTCTTTGTTGTGCTGAAGAACATGCGACATAGAAAACATAGAAAAAAGCGTTCAGAGTTGATGGGATAGAGGCAGAGATCGCTAGGAAGGGAGTGGTGAAGAAAATGAATGTTTATCCATTGAAATCCGATCAAATATTCTTCGATAAAAACGATTCGAACCCATGAGCTTCACTGTTGCGCTAAAATGAGTCATATAAAGAGAGGTTGAGCTCGGAAATCTCTAAGAATTAAGAGGGAATGACCAATTTTCTAGTTCCAGCTATTTTTTCGCAAGATATAAAGCTGAGTAAAAGGGCAGGGATGATTTTGTTTACCGAAGCTTTACCTATACTTTCAAGACTTTTTAAATTCCTACTGCTCCATCACTCTTGATACTCATCCTGCGCTCCCGCACAGCTCGATAATTTTGAGCCTTTTGTATGTGAATCCTATAAATCTCTAAGTGAATCATCTAGAATTCCCAGCAGAACTGCTAACTCTGGGATATCCATCTGAAATACCGCTAAATACCCTTTCAAGGACGGAATTTTTCGCAGTCAAAGTACGTTGTCATTATCTCGCCAGCCTGACCTCAATCATTTCGACGAGTCTAAGCGAAGAGTATTTTCTATCGCTTCAAAGAGATAGATTTCGGAAAGAAATTCTTCGATAATGTATCGAAACCAGGCTGCATTCATGAATAAATTATCGGAGACAACAATGAAGTCTCTGTATGCGGCTGTTGTCAGGAAGGAATTGTGAAAATCTAATCAGATTCTTCTAAGAATAAGTTCTCTTTGAGACCTCAGTAATGTGGGCACAACAAGAGTGACATGAGATTCAGAAAGCTATTCGAACGTGCCGAAGCGAGAAAGGAAACCAAAAATTTATGAAGGAATCGAGTGAAAAGCACAAGCATATCAACACAACTTGGAAACCTTGCAAAACAACGCCATCACGAAGATTAGGACAGTCTCAGAAATGGAGAGAAGAGACAATTTTAGGATTATGTCGGAATCGGTAGACGGTGATGGTGGCGAACTACTACTACTAGTACGAGTTTGCTCCCGGATTTGAGTCCCGAAGCAATACTTGCATATTCGGAGTTCGAATCCCGAGCCGATACTCGCCTGGGATAAACAAGCCTTCCGTTACTTCTTGGTAGATCAGATGGTACCAGACTCGTCCGGGAGGATATAA